GGAATCCCCACGCCCAGTATAGGGAAGAAAGCAATGGGCTGAGACAAGTAGAGACTTAAAGACACCAAGAGCCCTGGGCAAGACTTTGCAGCATCCCCGACCCCCACTTAGCCTCAGGTTAGAAAGCTGTTAACCACCTTTCCACTCCTCAAAATGTGACATTTCAAAAAGTGATGGGTCCCTGCTAATAACTTGAGGTGCCATCCCTAAGAGCTATGGCTACTGTGACCCTCTTTGTGCACAAAGACAATGGATCCTTAGAGCCAATGAAAAGGAAGCCTTGGGGGGTAAGATCTGCGGAATCTGCAGCCAAAGGACACAGCACCACTGCTACTGCTCGATGCTTCTCTAACCTCAAGGTAAAGGACAGCCGGGGAAAGGCTGGCTCCGGTGTTTCAGAAGCCGCTTACTACCTTGGGGTGACAGGACAAAAAATTCTTAGATGAATAGAGAAATGAGAGGTCCCACAAAGGACCCAAAAATTATTCTGCACACCAGAGTAATAAGCTCTTCTCGGCAGATCTTGAGACTAAGATGGCCTTTGAGGACAAAAATCTAAGAACTGGGAGATACCATTAACAGCAGCTAAGAACATTGTCTCCACCTGTGAAGACCAGAGTCCTCACCTCATTTTGACTCTCAACTATTTTAGTCACTATTACTCTTAGCTTGAGCCAATATAAAAATATATACATGTTAATGTCTAGAGAGCAATATCATTTAGGACCCATTTAGTTAGTGTGAAGAATGAACACTGTTGCTATCTGAAGAGACCACATATCATTCCATGAACATCCATTCTAATGAAATCTAGACCGAAGAATGAACCCCTGAAATGAAGCTGCTGTCAGCAATTCACATCCTTTCAAGCACATTATCTACTGCTGGGAAGCAACAAGGACAAGCTTCAGGGACTTCAGTCTAAATAAAGTGATGTTTACACTGCTAAGAATAAACAATCCTCATGGATATGCTAATAGTCATTCCTTATTTACAGGCATTAGTACTATAAACTTGACCTACTGCTATATACACACAAATAGACACAAGATGAAGCATTTTCCATATTATACTAAGACGACAGCAGAGAGAAGGCGGGGGGACCCTAACACTTCAAACTATGAGGACTCAAAATAAAGGGGTGGGGGAATCTACATAAACACCACCTACTCACTGACGCTGTAAGTAAAAAGGGTGAGAAGGCTGCCCAGCCAGCACGGCAATCCTCACTGCTGAGAGACACAGCAGTGTGGTCAAAGAAAATTTAGTTCCTACGACTGAATGCCAATTTGAAAATCTAAGATCCTATTATTTCCCCAAATACCAAAAGGTTGTCTCAAAAGAGGAACAGTTCTTTCAGTAAAGGACAAACCATAAACAAACCTGGTTGTATGGACACCTGATTGTTCTTCCCAGTGACTTTGCAACCTTGGACATGTCACAGCCTCAGCCTCCATATAAGGGAAGGAAGGAGGGTCCCAATTTATTTGGCCCCCAACTCATAAACCGTAACAATGAAACTGAGAAAAAAATTCTACAAGGCACTGTAAACTCTCAAAAACCATGCTATTCACGCAAGTTATTTTTTCATCTACAGACTCAGTCCATCTGGAAGCCGCCTGGAGAAGGGAAGACATTAAGCTACCCGGTAATTTTTAAATCAACTTTAAACTAATCAAGTCCATCGTTAATGAAACTGGTTTAGAGAGTACAAAAAATTCAAAGTCATTAGGACTGAGTTTTTATTCAAAATCTACAAAAGTACCTAAAAAAGTAATAATTTTCCCTAAAGAATATAAGCTTAATAAAATCATGCAATTTAAAAAGTATCAGAGAGTACAGAAAAGTCAAAGAAAGCAGATACACAATTAGTTTCCTTCATCTGTCATGGAGCTGGAAAAAGGGTGCTGCGCACAGACACAGAACTACATCATCTGCAGAGCTTCCCTCTAACATCCTCTGCAGAACCCTTGTCCTCGCGAGGGGGGTCAGCCCGGGAACGTAGACTCCCATCTACGAAGGTTGCAACTGTGTACCAGGCCATGTCAAGATAAGGGGTCCTATAACCGCACAAGTCCTGCAACATCCTCCAGAAAACACGCTGCTAAACCCAGAGCTCCTGCTCGTGGCACCTCTCGCACATGCTATCTCCATTCTATAAGGACACACTGGCAATCCACCCACAGCAAAGCATGCTCTGAGCTTTCTGTTACTGACTGCCAGTTTGCATTCAAACATCCTCATGCTGTGAGTCACTTAACTTTTTAAGCAAAAATGTAGAGGCTGGGTACAGATGGTAAGTCTTTTGAAAAGGTATATCAAGAAAAAGACTTATCAAGGATACAATATGATCTCAGAATTAAATTTTCCCTCTAAAAACACAAGTTTGATATATCACGATCTAATCCAGCAGGGCAATCCAGCACAAAAGCAGTGTCCACTTTTCTTCCAATTTCTGGACTATCTTCCAACTGGATCTACTTGGGAAGGCAACTGGCTAATAAAGAATGTTTCCAAATGACAAGAACACACCTAGAGAACTAGTGGAGTATAAGCAACCACCTGTTTAGCATAAGTTGATCAAACAATGCATAGGGCCTGTGTGATTCCCAGACAAAATAAACCACCTTAATTTAGTCAATGCATGTGGAGATCATCAGCAATGTTCTCCCCCACAATCATTAACAAGACAATCATGACACATAACTTTATCAGGACGGATTTGGTGCTCATTTGAGTACGGTGCACTGAAACTTCAAAGCAGGAAGAAAGGAACGGGAACACTTTCCCCCAACATTGCATATGCTGGTGGTGCGAGAACAGCTACAAGACAGTCTTCCTTTCTCCCGGCCATCAGAATCCACAGGCTCATGCTCAAGCAACGAACCTGGCAACTAACTAACTTGTCCTGAAACAAGTACCTCACTAGCACATTAGTTAGATTTTCAGTACATAATTGATTATACAATGTCTACAAATTCAGTTTTTTTAAATGGTAGTAGGGATTACAGAGACAGAAAAAAACTCTGAAATGAGAAAGTCTTCTGCTTCAGGTTAGGAAGATCGACCAGGACCTGGCAGTGCCAACAGTACACTTTTTTGTGGTATCTCAGCATATATCTGCTCTACATGTTCTATGAGAATAATTGGTCTTACTTTGGTATGAAAAATTTTAAACCACATTTGCACAATTCAGTCTATTAAACAAGTTTTGCTTCATTTAGGTTGAAAATTTACTTTCATCCGTCTCTGGGAAAATAAAGTCTTGCAAACAGATGATGTTCTGCTAAGTAAAATTTGGCTAAAACCTACAGCGTAAACAATGCCTGAGAGATGCAACGGTTACGTAAGTTTTTTTTCAAAGACCAGTATTTTCTTAAGTTAGTGTCTCATCATATCCTTAAAAGCTCATAAGGAGAAATAAACAAACATGAAAATTCCAAGTGAACACACGGCAACAAGCCCAATGTTCAGTATCAGTCTCACTTGGGGAGGCTCCTCCAGCATCTGCAAGCAGACGGCTTCTTCCTCCATCAGGTCTCTGAGGCTCCTCTTGCTGAGGCTCTTACTCTTAAAGCCACAGAACCAATCTATTAACTGCCAGCACCGGCTTCCGTCCTCGGTTTCTTTCTTTCTCTCCTTCTCACCCATGAGCGCTGCTTGCCCATTGGAATAAGCGTCTACTGGTGTTTCTGCCTCTGAATGACCTAAGGAAGCCACTGGGTTGCCCTCCTCTCTGCAGGTCACCAAGAGATTAACATCTTCAGGCTGAAGGCCCTTAATGCTCTCTTCAGATTTCCCATTGGGAATGACGTGGTTGACGGCCTCACTATTCTCACTGCATCTCAGGATGCTCTTCTCCTGCATTTTGTAGGGCTCATCTTTCTGTGAGCAGCCTTCCTCCACTACCACGGTCTTCTTAGACCAAAAGGTGGTGGTACGAATCTGTTCCTTCGTGGGAGGTGGCGTGAGAAGGCTAACAATTACAGTAATAAGTCCTGTGACCCAAAACAGTGCTGTGGCCACATACATGTAATGAATGTCTTTGATGAAGCCTGGCCTGTCGTCAGGTTGGTCACATTCTGGGGCCCGGTAGGCAAAGGCTAGTGTCAAACGAACTGCTCCAAGAACAAAGCCAGCCACTCCGCCATAAAAAGCCCCTTGTTCATTGCAGCGCTTCCAGAAAATTGCCAGAAGGAACAGGGCCGCAACGGGGGGCGTCAGGTAATCTGCTACCTCTTGAATGTAAAGGTACATCTGGCCCCCTTGCATCTCCACGATGATTGGCACCCACGCAATGCTGATCACCACCATGAAAGCCACAAATATCCTCCCCACAATCATCAGCTCCCGGGAGCTTGCACTCTTGCGGATGAGCTTGTACACATCGAGGGTAAATATGGTGCTGGCACTGTTAAAGATAGAGTCCAGGTCGCTCATCAGAGCTGCGATCATCACGGCCATCATCAGGCCGCGGAGGCCCACGGGAACCAGCTGCATCACCAGGCGCGGGTAGGCGATGTTAGAACACCCGGCTCTGCTTCCACACACCTGCACGCAGTGCTCAGGGTTGATGCAAGCTATATCGTCGGCGAACAGTATCCTGGAAATCATGCCCGGGACCACAATGATAAACATCGGCAGAAGCTTCAAGAAGCCAGCCATCAGAGTGGAGCCCTTGGCGTGCGCAATGTTCTTGGCGGCCAGCACCCTCTGCACGATGACTTGGTCGGCGCACCAGTACCACACCGACGCCGGCGTCTGCCCGAGGACGAACCCGGGCCAAGGCACATCCTCATCCGTTGGGCTCCGCAACATTTTCAGCGCATCCTTCTTAGGGTGGACATTACAAGAGTTTGTGTTGGAAAGGTTGTACGTCAGCAAGATGGAAGTGACATTGGGCGAGGCCAACATGTACCTTCTCTTAACTTCCTCAAACCCGCCAACCTCCATCATGCTGATGATCATAAGCGTGAGGGCCCCAACGATCATGAGCAGAGCCTGCAGGGTGTCTGTGTAGATCACTGCAACAAGGCCTCCGGTGACGGTCAGCAAGGCGGTCATGCCAATGAGCAGGATGACAGACACATAGAGGTTCCAACCCAAAGACTCCTGGATAAAGAGGGCACCTGAATACAGATCCACCGAGAGCTTGGTGAAGATATAGAGAATCAGAGACAAGGCTGCAAAATAGACCTGAATCCTATGGCCACCAAATCGCTTGGACAAGTATTCAGGCATGGTATACACCCCTGACCGGATGTAAATCGGGATGAAAACCCATCCCAGAAGTTGCAAAAGCAGTAAGGCATTGAATTCCCACGCACCTACTGCAAATCCACTGGCAGCTCCAGATCCCGCCAGCCCAATGAAGTGCTCACTCCCAATGTTGCTCACAAACAGAGAGGCACCAACCGCTACCCAGTTCATAGAGCGCCCGGCCAGGAAGTATCCGCTCACGGTGCTTCTATTAGATTTCCACATGGCAAAGAAACCAATGCATAGGACCAGGATAAAATACAGGGCCACTATGGCAATGTCTGCCGTCTCCAGTACAGCCCTCATTTTGGTAACTTTGTGAATAAAGGTGTCCAATGACAGAAGCGTCCAGCTTTTTATTTACTCATTAGTAACCCAGCCAAGTCTGTACACCATACGTGAACTGGACTACACAGAGCAACAGAGCAGGTCAAAGTCTTTGTCCTTTGGTTTGCTGTCTTGATGGTGGTGGTTGTGATAAACTTTGAAGGAGACAGTTTAAATTTTCCTCCGCTTCTTAATTGGGATTGAGAACTTAGCTCGTACTCTTAATCCACTCTCCACAAGACCATCAGCATTTACTCAGGTGCTGGAGGAGAAATTCTGAGTTGCAGCTAAGTCTAGTGAAGCCTACTGTACCAACCCTGCAAGGCAGCAAAGACAAAAGACAAAGATTGAATTAGAGGAAGGTCTCACCAAGCGTTGAGGACACGTTCAGTCTAGCAAACGGCGCGACAAGACATTCTTTATAAAAAGACACAACTTTTAAAATATACTTTGTTTCACCAGGAAAAAGCAATCTATACTATCACAGCTGATACTGAGAGTCAGTGAAAATATTTATCATTTTGAGCTAAGAACAAAAATTCATCAACCTCGTAATTAAATGGCCTAACTTCTCTAGCAATTAACTGTCTACCGTGGCCTTGCCCCTTCTTTCTTACTGTGGTGTCTCAGACTGGAACAGGCACCAAGATCTGAAAGCACCTTAAAAAGGGAAAAAAGCACTAATTATTCATAAAGAGCACCAAACGAATCTTCAAATACTGTGGATCCCATGAGTAACATGACAGCCAGTTAAGTTTCTGGAGGGGACAGGTGGTTCTTCCTGGGTGTTACCATCTACCCCAAACAGAAAACCAAGGACTGCTTATCTGTGCAAACCTAATGCTGTAAAATTTCCTAGATTCCTACTGAAAGTGTACATCTGTGCTAATTACCATACAGGAACCCAGAAATTGTGAGATGACACCTGCCCTAAAGGGAAAAAAGACATTCGACACACACACAAAGCAGGAACATAAAATTTATAAAACAACCCTGAAATTTTATTCTTCTGATAGAAGACACCGATTTAAAAAAAAAAAAAGTTCAAGAGACTCTGAGCGGGTAAAAGGGCTGCAGGTTTGATGTTGTTGAGAATTTTTTTCTTTTAATGCTTCCTGTTGAAAAGTAGAGAAAGCAAGGAGAGAAGGGAGCAGGAGAGAGTTTTCTGGAAGACTGGAAAATAATTTCATTTTTATTGTATCTTCCAAATCTCAACAAAACAGACATTTATCAACCATTAGACATAAATCATCTTCAGTCAGAGAATCAGGTATTTTTCAGCCTGGATTAAGGAAATCACTCTGCAAACACATTTACATTTACTTCAAATCAGGTATATGAATCTGATGGTTTTTCTCCTGGAAAAGAGACAAATTCTGATTCTTCCAAGTTAATTATCATTGTAGCCGACAGAGCAACATGAAAAACATTGTTATTCAAACAATGGCTTCCCCATGCTAAGGCAAACTCAGAGTGAAATGTTCTACGCCTGACAAAGCACATGCTTTGTGACAAATCTAGGCGTCTTCCTTAAAAATCAAGAGCAAACTAAGTCCTATAAATGATACTAAAGCTACCTCTTTTCAAAACTGTTCAACACAGACCATAGTACTAAAAACTAAAACACACACCTTTCACTGGCTAGGGAAGAAGCTGGAAATACTGCCTCACGCCAGATGCCGAATTAGGTAACAGGTCTGATTCATAAAGCTGCCAGACCGAAATGCCTTGATCCCATCCTCACGCCTTTTTTAAGCACAAAACACTACAATAATTATACGAAGAAAAATGATAAAAATCCTTCCTCCTAAAAGTCAGTGTCAATAGTGAATGACTGTCATAAATAAAACTGCCATCAACAAAAGCTGAAAGAGCACTAAAAGCTGGGATTTGTATCACTTCATACTTGCCAAAATCCTGAAGGTGGTCAGATTTCTTTGACTACTACCTCCCCCCCACCTCCCAAAAAATTTGTTTCTTAAAAAAAATACTTGGGCATATTTTAGAAAGAACCACCTAATTTTTAATAGTCTAATCAGATGACCAATAAGCATTAGTTATTTAGAAGGGTGCCTCAGGGTGAGGGTCAGGTCCCTAATTACAATGAGAACTGCTGCTGGCAGTTAGGAAACCTGCCTTCACATCCGGGCTGTACCTCGGCCTGTGTTTCAACTCACAGAGAACCTCGCTCCCTGCTCAGAGGGCCTTTCAGCTGTCACTCTTCTCAGGGTGGTGGCAGGAGACCCTGTGTTTCCAAGAAGGAACCAACGCCCGGGTGGTTTCTGTCTGGAGGGCGCTGGGTGGGATGTCTCGTAGCAGCCCCTGCGCCGGCAGCTGTTGGGAGTGAACGAGCCGAGCCCCTGCTTTCCTGCCCCCATGAAGCTCTGCTGGCACCAGGACTGTTCCCGCCAAGCGGCCTGTCCAGCCAGACGCCTCGCCGCCTGCTTCCCGGGGTCGCGGGCTCCCCGAGTGAGGGGGCGCTGGTCTCCCCTCGCTTCTCTGAGGAGCCGCGCTGCCCGGGGCGGGGGCGGCAGGGCCAGCCAGGGCTGCTTAGCGCTTCCCGCCTGGTCTTCCTCACGCTCTTCAGAAGCCACTGCCGACAGGCCCGGCTGGGCACCATGCTGGTCTGTGGGAAGGGTTAAGATTTTTCCAATTTAAACAAAAAACACCAGAGACCAGCACCTGGTAAAGACTGAAAAAGGGAAAACAAAACAAAACAACCCAAAAATAGGTCAATTTAGTTCATAGAAAAACAGAATATTGTGATAGTTCACATGCTGAACTTCAGACCTTTAGGAGATACAGTGTGCGTTCCTTAAAAATGGCTCCAGATAAAAAAATACAATGTAAGTTTTACATATTTTTTCCCTTCTTTTTAAAGCAGCAAACATTTCTACAACAAAACAGCTGTGCCTAGCTATGGAGGTGGGGGGACTGCTTCTATATTAAAGTGAGGGGCTACTTGCATACGAGCTACTTTTGCACAGAGGCCACAGGTCACTCCGTTCACGTGGAGTCAGCCTAGTGCTCAGGGCATCGCAAACTGAAGTTTTGCTTTTGAAACTTTCCAGGAATTTTTTCTCCCCCAAATATTTTCTGCATTTGGTTGAATCTGGGAAGGCAAAACCTATGGAGGGCTGACTATAAAATGAACCCTATCCAGGGTTCCTTTATTTTTAGAAACAATAAACATGGAAAATTGTTTTCCTTCAGCTAAAATGAAGCTTTTTACTTGTTTTTTTATTTCTAGGATTAAACTGGTTCACAGTTCAAGTAAATCTCCAGTGAGGAATGTGGGGCAATGGGTATAGTACTAAGTACTGGTTCCTTGGCAGTACATTTTTGAGGAAACTATTTCTATAGTGAGAGTAATATCTGTTGAATGTATAAAGAACGGTCCCCTAGTGGCAATGGACAGAACAAACTTAGCCAAATACTGAACAGAGAGGTGTTTTGAAACAGCAGACCTGTCTCCCACTCTCAAAGGCTTCCTTCCCAGGAAGTAATGTTTTACTGATAATTTTCCACAAAATTAGAATACAACTTTGGTACCCTTTCAGATACTCGCATGAATTAAATTACAACTGAAGAATTAATCCAAACAGAGAAATACACATTTGCTATGTCTGAACAACTGGAAGGGGAAAACAGGTAAGACCAAATTTAAATCACCTATTAAATTCCTTCCGGTAATACAGCCAAATTATAATTAGTAACAATGACCAAATCCAACATCTTTCTTCTAATATCTAGGTCAACCATTTAATTTATCTTCCAAACTAGGGTACTATTCTGGGACCATGTATAAAATCCAGGACGTATGGCCACTCCCTACAACACAGGAGAGGACCGCCTGGCCCACGAAATCATCTGGTCTGGCCCTTACAAGGCAACTGCAGGTGGGACTTGAAATTCAGTAAATCTAGGAGCTTTTTCATAGCTAATTTTTAAGTTAATAATTTTGTTATGGCCCGTGAATGATGTTATAAATATCCAAATGGCCTTGGCAGAAAAAAGGTTCCCCACTCCTGCTCTACAAAGAAAGTCTGTCTTAAAAACCAGAGAACAAAAAAACACCTAAAGCCATCAGGGATCCAGGTCATAACAACTCCATCGAGGCACTTGGGCTAACAGTGACCCTAAAAGTGACCAAACAATAGCATTTTTAGCTCTGGAGGTGATTTAAAAACTATACACACTCAAAGGACAATCTGAGCAGGTCCAAAGCAGCTCTGTCAAAAACAGGCTTGCGAAGTCCTGCTCACCTTCTGATCCAATGAAAAATATTCACTTTACCAGCCAGTAATTTAAGGGCTATAGAGCATTTCTGAAAATTTATGAGAGTAGCTGGCATGGTCAAGAAAGCAGATGAGCCCTGAAGGGCTGGGGGTCCAGGCTCTGTCACCGCCTGACTGCGGGATTTTAGGCAGCAACAATGTGTGGGCCTCAACTGTCTCGCCTGTAAAACAGAACCACCGCCTAGCTCCTGACGGTTCAACACGGAACAGCTACCATGCGGAGGGGACACAACGCTGCCCCGTACAGCAGGCAGGTGCTCAATTAATGTCACTTCACCTTCAACTTGTAAAAACTAGAAGGGACAATACTGGCTTCTTTCAAATTAAACTGTCAACTAGACCCCAGGCACACCAGGGTCCTCACCACAGATAAAAGAACTAGATAAACTGGTGTCTTGCAGATACAGCTCCCTCACAAATATCTGAAGAGGCTCCCAGCCACCTCACTAACTATCAGTTCCTATTTACACCAACTTATTCAAGTAAAATACCCCCCAAAATTAATCTTATATAAAATTCTACTTACAGGCTTTTTACGTTTCACTTTTGTAATCTTGCTTCAAGATCCAGTAAAGCAAATCCCACTAGTGGAACAGAGGAGCGGTGCCTGGGACAGAGTATTACGCACTTAGACAGGACCTTCCTCAACCTTCCCTCACTTTAAAAATTAGAGCATGGACACGACAGTGGTCTATCAGTGGCACTAAAGCAAAATGAATGTCCCTGATACAACTGATACGAATTCCAGGCAATTTTAAATTACAAATGGAACTGAGGACAACACTATACAAAACGTTTATAGTGTCTCATTTCATACACAATACACATTCCCCAGATACACTCATTTAAACCTGCTCCCATCAGGTTAGAAGCCTGGCTTACAGTGTTTGGCCTGTTGTTTTTACAGACGTCTCAGAGAATGAAGACCGTGTGGGTGTGGGGCCAACTCTGAAGCTACTTTCACGTGGATGACACTGGACCATGAATGTGGAACAAACTCCAATAACCTATTTCTCTGAGAGATGAACTGGGAGAGCAACAGCACGCGGCCAGCGCTCCACGTGATCCCGATGACCGAGGTCTACGTTAACTCCTAACGGGAAGGATTCAACTCCTTGCTGACGGGCACAAGATAACTTAAGTGATTTTAAACACCTTGCTGACCAAAGTAGTGGGCTGTACCGGTGAGTTCTGGCTTGAAACAGCCGGTCAGCAAGGAGGCCCAGCACTGCCTGCTCATAAAGACTGGTTATCAAAGCCGTTACCAACAAGGGACTGAAAAATTAAAACTTGACACTTACTGACCTAAGCTGGCACCTTGTAGGTGCTGGGCCTACAGTGTTTGTGCATCACTTTAATCCTCACAACAGTCATGGGTCAATTCAGTCATTATGACCACTTTACAGGTGAGAAAACTGAACCAAGGAGCCGTATAAGCTGCGGGTGTCTGTGTTTACGACAGCAATGGCACTTGCATCTACGCAGCGTCCGCCCTCAGTCACCACACACTGCTACCTTCAATGAAAAGGACACTGTTAACAAAATAGACTACAAACAGCACAGAGGACAAAATTCTACTCATGTGTTTACGTACGATGCTATGTAAATGGATATACGTATGGAGAAAAGTAAAGAGACTCAAAACAAGAAGTCGTTCCAGGCACTGGGTTCTTAGGTTAGTAAACACATTGAGCAGAAAACCTTGACGAGTTAGCTTGAAGACCAGGGCTTACCCAGGTCCTCACTCTTCAAGGCCAAGGCTTTGGCCTTCATTCTCTTTCTTAGTAAAAAATTAAG